TAGCTTCGACAGATCCCACTGTAACTACTAGAAGACCAAGAGACACTTCTCAAGGTACAAGATAAGCTGTCGACCTGCTCCCTTGCCTAGACACATCTCTTACCGAGACTATGAAAGGGTCCTTCAGACTAGCCCTGGGAGCTCAATACTCAATCCTTTTCATTTCCTTTCTTTCTGTCTTCATAACTTACCAAGGCATGCAATTTTTTTTTTTTTTTTTTTTTAAGTCTAAGGTGACCTGCATTTTAAGTATGTTGGTTGGTAGCAGTAGTAGCAGCAGCCTGGAGCTCTGCAAAGGAGGAGGTTTCTCTTCTCCCAGGGTGACGGAGGTGAGCGGATGTAGCTGTTTCTCGTGGGTGGTCAAGGACGGAGGGGAGGCTGCGTGCCTTCTCCAGAGCAGGGCTGCAGCAGGGCTGCTCAGCATCCTCACGAGACTGGTTCCAGGCACTGCGAGACATGACTCTGCCAGACCCAATTTACCCTTTAAGTAGAGGCTTTCAGGCATAAATCCTGTTCCTGACTAGGATGAGAAGTAAATACCTTCAGGGGTGTAAATCAAAACTCTCTGCAAAGCTTCAGTCCGAAGTTCTGCTCTTCTCCAGTGTCACCAGGGCCAGGAATCTCTGGGGACGGGGGGGCGGGGTGGGGGGGAAGCTATCCAGCCACCTTTGTGCTGTGGTAATTAACCTCAGGCAAGCACTGGCACGAAGCTCCTGCTCTTGCATGACTTGCAAGCATTCCTCTCCACAGCATTTATCATAAAGCACCAACTATCCATAAACATCTCTGGGAAAGGCAAGGGCTGGCCTGGGTTCACCTTCATGCAAGGAAGATGTCAGGCCCTGGCAGAAAGCCAGCCATTCATGTTTCTTTAAACCTCCTGATTTTTGTCAGCTCTGACTCAAATGACCTACTTGGGGAAAAAAAAAAAAAAAGAAAATCTTCCATCACACCCCTTCCTCCCCTCCGCCCACTCTAGCACTTAATCACAACAGGATCACAGAGGGCAATTCCAGTGGTGGCAGTGAGTCACGGTCTCCTGTCCCTCTGCTTGGCATGCACAGCCCCTTTGCAGCAGAGGCCCCGACCACCAGACACTTCCTCATTTTCTAGCTGACCTGCAGGCTCCGGGCAGGACAGGGAAGACCTTGGAGCTAAGCAGCAGTGGATGGGCTCAGTAGCCTTGCAGTCCCACCATGGGCCTTCTCCCTTCGAGCTGGCTAGAACAGGATGACCTGATCTGGGGACAAGATCAGATTATCCAGCAACACCACAACACATAGTAATGCCCTCTCATGGGCACAGCATCCTCCGATTCCTCCATCCAGGGAAACTTGAACCGTGCTCCAACACGGTGCCACAGAGTATCCAGACCCACAGAGTCGCTCAATCTTTCATCCTAAATTATAAACATACTAAAATCTTTCAGCACAAGGTTATGATTAAAAGCAAGAAAAGCCGTCCTCTGTTTGTTCTCTCTTCCCAACAGCTCCTAAGATCCAGTTAACTTTCCTCCTTGGAGCCATTTGCCTTATTTCTAGCTCCCAGATCACAATACGACATGGGAACTCTAGGTGACTTTTCTTCCTTTTCCAGTTCTTCACCTTAACAATTCTGAAAAGAAAAACCTCTCCTCCCCAAGGAGGCGGGAGCAATTCAGACCGATCCCCCCCACCAGCAGATAATCAGGCACAACCTCTTCCCATCCTGCAGATGGTGGGGATCCGCCTTGCCAATGAAGCCATTAAGATTAAGCCACCGTTAGCACTAAGATGACATGATGCGAGTATTTAATATAGTCACACCAGCTGGGTGGCCAGCCTGAGCGGTTTTTTAAGCTGTTGTTTGCTGGCTGTGAACAATATTCCTCCCTCTCTCCTTCCCAGAGGATTTTAACATCCCTATGAGGAGAGTAAGCTTTCAGCCAGCAAAAGCAAAGACCAACAGGCTGCTTCATTAACTGCCCCTCTCCCAGTTGCCAAGGCCTTGCCAAATGCTAGAGCAACTTGGTTCTGGCTAGTAATCAAACAGTTACAACTCAAGACGAAGCAGGGAAGCACAGCAACGAGCGGACGGCCCTTTGCACCACAGCCATCCTGCGCCAGCCCGAGAGGATGCCCCAGGGATGCCCCACGCGGATGCACCGCACCGTGCTGGCTCTCCTCCAGCGTCGGCACTCGCAGCACTAGTAATCACCCCAAAGGGCCAAGAGCTTTTAGCAGCCCTCAGTCCCTTCAATTAAATCTTAATTGGTCCAAGAGCTCCCTAGAGGGCTACCTGGAGAAGGAGAGACCTTGTTTGCCAGCCAAAAAACCCTGCTCTCAGACATGCCTTTGAGGGTGTTACCTGCGCGCCGTTTCACAGGTATCCGAGGAATTTGCAAAGCTTCACTTCCAATTACACCAGCCTGCTCGAGCACGTGCCCTGCAGACCCGGCTGGGTCCCAAGAATTCCTTTCTTTACCTTCCTCCTTTTCAACCAGCCTCAGCTTCAAAAGGAGGAAGTTAGTGATTCTGTAACATTTCATCTTGTTTCTATTGCCTGATCCGCCAAAACAAAAGAGGAAAAACCAAAGAAGTGACTCTCGCCGGGTATGAACAGGTTACTATACATGCCGTTATTGTATGTAATTGCTATAAAGAGGAAGCTGCTAAAACAGGCTGAGGCTTAGGGCTTGTGCTCCTGTTCGGACAAGCTGGGCAACCACATACTTTGCAAAGGCAGGAGGGAACCAGAGGGATCTATAAGCCCAGAGAATAAGCCCAACAGATCAGGCAATCACGACCAGCACCACACATGCAACTTCTCCTACCAACCTTACTGGAGCAATCTAGTAATCCCACCCCACCAAAATACAGGTGAGCAAATACAGAAGCTTGGGAGAGGAGGGTGGAAAAGAGACAGTAAACTTACACCAACGCGTTTTTAGCCCTCTAATATTATTCCAGGCACTGGCTCCCGGCTCTGCAGTTCTGAAGGCAAACCCCCAGCTAAGCCGAATTTCAGCAGCTTGCAAGCATGCAGCACTGGTTAACTCTGGCCTGAAGCCAAAAGATCTACACGGAGAATGACAAGTAGGAGGGGAAGATTTCAAGGTAAGTTGAAGTTGCCAAAGACCTTTTCAAGGTCTTTGAAGACCCCTTTCCAGAGAAGCACTGATCCACCCACCCAGCAAACCCCTGCTAGTTGGGAGGTTTCCAAGAAACACAACAGTTGCCACCTACATGGGTTAACGAGATCAGCACGCTGCCTCCATCTCTGGGAGGCCTTGGCCACGGAGCTATTGTGCTACGCACATCATGCCTGGGGCGTTGGGGGATATTTTGCTGGTGCTGTGCATAGCACAGCTTTAGATAGCTGGCACTCATGGGAGACAACAGGTTTATTGAGAGCACTGAGAGGATCCAAGTGAGTGCTACAGCTGGGTAGGGAGTGGATCAGAGACGATCTTGGGGACTAAAACGTTCGAGACATCTACCAGAAAGGTATTGTCATCAATACGCCCCAGATCCATAGAGAACTCGGCTAGAAACTTGGTCTCAGATCCCTTACAAATGATGATGACGATGATAAACAAGCCTTTACTCCAATGTGAGTAAAAGCTATCTGCAAAGCTAGTGCAAAGCTTCAGTGCCCACCTAGACCTGAAATCACTGCAATCTGTGTAAACTCCCAAATAAAGAGGCAGTCCGGTCAGAGCCTGGAAAGGCTGCCTGAGCAGTGCAAGCAGCCACGCTACCTACGCAAGGGGCGAGCCGTCCGGAGCTGTGCAGCTCCCCACCCCGCAGACCTTCCAGCTGGGCTTTGCCCAGGGAGGACCCAAACTCAGCCACAGAGCCCAGAGAAGTGCAGCAGAGCGGATGAACGCCCAATCCCTGCCCGCTCCCGGGGGCGCTTTAGCAGTTAACTGCTAAATTGTCATAAAGAGACTCCAGAGCAAGAGCAAGTGTCCCAAATTTTGAATTCCAAGGCCTAAACTGCTCCCAGCCTCCTCCGCCTACCCTGTTCTGGCAGCCAAGATGCTGGGGCTGCTGGCCAGGAGCCTCTTCCTCCAGGCAGCACGTGCTTTCTGCAAAGGACAAGCTTGGGCACAGCTTTGGGTCAGACCTGTCGGCGATCTCCTGGGAGATGCTCCGTTCCCCCTCTCTGGGCCCCATTTGCTGTTGCCCTGCAACGTGCTGGGTCTATTTAAATACTGAACATAAGTATTGAATATGTAGCTGTGGAGCACCTCACACACTCCCTGCGCCGAGGAGTTCCCCGATCCAAGCAGCCAGAACAATGGCCTCAGAGCAAAAAGTGGGGACACATCCTGCAGTCTTTGAGGTCTCTCAGTTATAACATCTTCCAGCCCCTGCAGCTTTCAGGGAGGGTATCTTTTCCAACACTTTGCCCTGTGCTGAGGAAGGTCCAGAGAGAATAACACAGTTTGGTGCTGAATAGGAGCTGCAGAGGAGGCCGTGGGGGCTGGTTGCCAGAGCTATTACAATGTTAACGCTTTTTGACTTGCCAGTATTAGAAACCAAGGACCTATTGTCTTTTTTTTCTCCGTTACATGTGAAGACCTTCAGAAGGGACTTGCTCTTTTAGAACCTCAAGGATTTAAATGCACCGGTTAAAGTTTTACAGCATAACCTTAAATTCCTAGGGCTGCATTTTGCATGCGGCAGCAACATGTTCTGGGGTGAAGCCTCCCTACCCGTCTGCCCCTTTGGCACCAGGTACTCGCTTTCAAATGGCACCCGCGTAGCGCGGCAGGTTTTCATGAGTGGCGTTGGCTGACTCAACTTGTAGAGAGACCCTAAGTGGTAACAGTAAATAGCACGGACTACGTTTAAGACAAACAAGACTGTTTTCTACCCAGAGTCTCCTGCCCTGTCATTAAACGAGAGGGTTTGGTCTCAACTCTCAAGCAAGGGTCACTGGAGCACTTTGGAAGCCCAGAGGCGCAGGTCCGTGCCAGCACGGCCTACAGCATCGCCAAAAAGGATTTGGGTTACCTGTCCAAGGTCCAGGGTGACGTTGACTTGGTTGAACTCCAGCCCCCTGGAGAGAGGGGGGCTCTGCCACCAGCGCTCTGTCCCGTCGATGGCATTGGTTATGGGATGAGCCTTGTTGCTGTTTGCAGAGGAGCAGATGTCACAGTACTGGCCCTGTTGGAAAGCACAAAAATAGCATTTAACTGCAGCCAGAAAAACACACCACCAAAGCAGTGAGGGATACCCTCCCACCTGCATCTACGAGTACTGAGAGAATGAGCCTGACTACCTGGGTGAGAACAAATTCTAACAGGAGCATACAGACACAAAGCAGACAGGTAGCGGAGCAATTCAGAAAATGCAGGATCTGAGCCTGATGGTGCAAGTTGATACATAAACTTCTTGTATGCACCAGTTTAGAGCAGGGACTGAAAAAGGAACAAGGAAGAGCTCGGAGGGTAAAAAAAAAAACCAAAACACCCCCCCCCCCAACTAATGTAGAATTTGGACCGTCCTAAGAAGCATCCCTTCTGTGTTTCAGATACACACCGAGTGTTGGGGCAGAGGGGCTTGGACAGCAAGTGGTTGCCAGCTGCAAAAGAGCAGGCAGCAGGGAGACCGAGCCCCCTCTTTGCTGTCCCCAAGGAAAGACGTTGCACCGCCATGGGGAAGGAGCAGCCTGAGCTCCAGGGCCATCAGCCTTCGGCTTCTCCACCGAGGCTGCCAGCCTTGCAGATACCCCGGAGATCCCGAGATGGATCACTCAGCCATTCCCGGGCTAGGATGGGCTCGGACTGGCAGTTCTTCTATTCAACTCACAGCCCTCTGGTGCTTGTCACCCTATTCATTTCACAAGTAGAGTCCTTTCAACTACATTTTCATGCTTAACAGCCTAGCAGCCAAGTCCCTTTTTTGCTGGGGATGCTACAATGCGAGGCCAGGAACGGACGGCCCCTGCTGTCAGCTGCCCAGGCACCTGGCTGCAGTCAAACTCATGAGATCTTTTCTGTCTCGCTTTAGCGGTACAGGCTGCTTTGTCAGCTCCCTGGACACGCTGCCAGAGAAAACAGCTCTGCAGCTTTAGCAGCACCTCCCCGGCAGGATCAGACAAAGACCTGAACTGCCACGGTTAATTCTTTCTTTCCCATTTAATCCACAAACGGATTTTACCAGCTCTTAACAGAACTTGCAAATATCCCTGAAAATCTCATGGAGCCTCTGTTCTGTCACTTGAATTGCTGCTACGAGCATCCCGCAAGGGAACTCTGTTACGGGCAGTCTTCCTTTAAAAGGTGCAGTTATCCCCAAGCAAGCAAGCTGCCCTTGGCCGTCCCAGCCGCAGCCAGCTTTAATACTGTTCCAGGTCCGTGGTCTTGAGACAGGGACAATCTGCTTCCCATTACTCCATCCGCACCCCCACAAGGGCTGAAGCAAGATAGAGACCCTGCAGGGCAACCGTTTGCGATTTTCCAGGTGCCCCAAACCCTGGAGGGGATCACAGTCCTGAAGGAAATGGAGAATTCCTGGCATTCTTCCCCACAGCCCTGTGCTATGTTATTTGTAGGCAATTATGCAACCCAAAATGTTCCGAACAAGCACACCTTTTAATTAACTTGGTTAGAGATATGAAAACAGCAGACAGGCAAGTACAAGGCCAAAGAGCAGAGCAGCTGAAACCGCCCAGTATAACCGCCCTGCCCAGGCGCTGAGCTCCCGCTGCCCCGAGAGGGTCAGGACACAGCCTACTTCAACGTGCTTTGCAGGAGAAAAGACATTCACCAAATAAAACTGACCCCTGAAGAGCAAGCCCTGCAACAGGTTGTATGGAGACTATTGGCCAGACTCTCTTCAGTGGTGCCCAGTGACAGGACAAGAGGCAACAGGCCCAAACTGAAACACAGGAAGTTCCATCTAAATACGAGGAAAAACTTCTTTCCTGTGAGGGTGACCGAGCACTGGCACAGGTTGCCCAGAGATGTTGTGGAGTCTCCATCCTTGGAGATATGCAAAAGCCATCTGGACATGATCCTGGGCAATGTGCTCTACTTGGACTAGGTGATCTCCAGAGGTCCCTTGCAACCTCGGCCATTCTGTGAGATTTCTACCGCACTATATAAGTCTTGGGGGGGGGGAGGAGGGCGGCAAGATTACAAAATGAGGATAAATAACAACAAAATAAAATGCTTTCATACTTAAATTCTTCCTACAGAATTAAAAACAATTTTGAACCCAAAGGTCATGTTGGTGTACGATGGGCATTTCAAGTTTAATAAGAGGGGATTACAAACGACCTTGAGCTACCATGCATTTGCAATGCCCATGTCTCCCTCCCTGCCGCTGTGCTGCTCGCCATGTCAACTGTCAGGAGCGGCAACACATCAGCAGCTGAGCTAGACTTGCCGTTAAAAGGTGCGATCGGACCCTCGGAAGTACCAGCTCCAGAGGCAGACAGAGGTTTTGCTAGAGCTGAACCTAAACACGACAACAGTCATCTCTAGCTACTCGTGTTTGAGAGCTGCTCGCTCTGCTGCGCAGCACTTCAGGCCGCTACGGGGCGGCGAGAAGCTCTGACCTCAGCAGCGGATTTTAATTAAAAAGCCACCGCAACGCGGAGTTGGAGGCTAAGCAACAGCAGGTTCCCGGAGCAGGAGAGGAGCGGACATCACCCGCGTAAGCCAAAGAAAGAGCTTAAGAAGCGCAAGGAAGTTGCAAGGGAGCGCAGAGAAGCCGAGACGGCCGCTGCCGGAGCAAGCCGCAAAGGGAGAGAGAGGAGGAGGAGGTCTGAACGGGAGGGCAGCTTCCCGAGACCCGCGAGGCCTGATGCCCTTGCCGCCCCGCCAACGGGTCCTCTGCGGTTTCGCCTGAGCACGAAGACCAGCCCGGCACCCTGCTGCCACGGCTTGCCTCAGCCGGAGCAGATGGCTCTGTCCTGCTTTCTCCAGCCTTGCCGTGACCCAGCATCGGTTCTCCTCACCCGGTTTATTGGAAAACCGCGGGGAGCATGATCCAGCCCTGGCTGTTCGGGATAAGGTAAACAGGGCAGGAAACAGAGGGACGGAAAGCAATATTTCAGACAAGGAAAGTCTGCGTTTGCAAACTATTAGCAGGGCTGTGCTCGCAAATCAAGTGACTGCTTACACGCCGTTAGGCAGGGGTTATTTCACTAGGTGTCTTTGCTGCAGGCAGCTGTAACTGGGTCTAAAAATTGCTTGTTCACAGCTGCAGTTAAACCACCAATGTCAAATGCCTTCATATACGTAAACACAGAAGAGACCCGTACAGAGAGGAACGGCCGCAACTGTCCCATTTCAGCTGGTTGCCCAAACCGTGAGAGACCCCGACCGCGTGAAGCACGACAGACAAGGCACGGGATAAAGAAACGCAGGGCCAGAAGTGCCGCTAGTGACTTATGACTGGAGGAAATCAGAAGAAAACACCGCTGAATCCAGAGACATTCAGGTAAAGAACAAATTCGGACCTCCTCTGTCACAAACACCTGGCACGGCGAGAGGAGACCACCTCCGGAAAGCTCCGACGGCGCTCGGGCGAACCTCAGCTCAACGGCGTGATTAAACGCGCAGACACGCGTTTTGCAGCAGCGGGACTTGGATGAAGACAGGATTCAAGTGAAAGCGAGAGACATACTGACTTGCACTTTTTTAAATTCGAAATGCCTCTCGGAAGACAGGCGGCTACAAGCACCTTCGATATCAGCTTGATCGGAAAAAAAACCCCAAACCTCTGGTCTCCCTTTTGCCTTAACGTCCGTATATTAGTCGAACACGCGGTTCGTTACAGCGAGATTGCCCTCGGTGATTAGCGAGTGGAACGAGGCAAGCGCACCTCCGCATCGACGTGCATCGTATCTTCAGGGACCGTAAAGCCGCCCGCAGCTAGAAACGCTGTCTTCTGCCAAAGAGCCTTGAATGAAGCGAAGGAAACGCCCTGAAAAGGTTTAGAGCCTTCCCACAAGCTGTGCCAACAACGCCGCAAGCGTCTGCCGGGCACCGTTGTTTTAGAAGGCTTAACAGTTCTTTACATTTTAAAAGCATCACGTTTTAAAGTCCTTGGGCTCCCTTTTCTGAAAGACCACTGCAGCACCAAACTCGGACCAGCAGAGGACAAGAGAACTGGCTGAACTCATTGATTAGATGGTGGTACCAACCTTTACATTAGGTCTTTAATCAAGGGAGCCTCCGTCGGCCGCCACAGCCCACGGAAAGCTCCGGGAAGCCCCGAGAAGCCGTTTTCCAGAATTCCCGACCAAAAGCCCTTCTAGGCCAGGCCTGCGCACGGAGCGGGTCTTCGGGGTGAGGAAGCAGCTCGACCTGGCCCCCACGAGACACGGGGAGTTCATTATCGCCACTTGAGCCCGCTTAAATCCAACGCTTCCCTCCACCTGCCTCCTTGCTTTCGTCCCCCGGGGCGGGGAGGGGGGTGCCGAAACCCCCAACGGGGACGAATCAGGACCTCTGACCTCCGGCTTCCTCCCCTCCCTCTTAGGTGCTGCCCGCGGTCACGGAAAGGAGCCACCACAAAGGGGTTTTTCGTAAGCTTGCGGAGCGACCGAGGGCCGCCGGCCTC